GCTGGAGGCGAGTGTAACTTATTTTTGTAATAAAGTTTTTATTTTTTTTATGTGTCATTAATATAAATGTGTGTTAGTACAGAGATCTTCTGGTTACAAACTTAGAATCGCACACATTTCAGTATGTTTACTTGTATTTACATAATTTTTAGAATAGTGGTTGCCAATAGCCTGTATGTTTCACATTAATTTTTTTTTTTTGTTATCTTAATAAACCATTTTAGTATGTTGTATGTCAATTACTGGGATAGCTGGGACATGAAGTGTAATTTAAAATTGTCAAGTATTCATTGGAATATGTAAATGTGCCTTGCCAGTTTTGAACTTAAAGACAAAGTAAGTGAATGATGGTGAAATGAGTAGTCAATGCATAAGAGACATTTGCTACTACAGTTTCATATACTGCCCTTGCTAAAGAAGAGTAACCTTCTCCTCAGATTTGAGCATAAAAGTATGCAGTTTGCATTAGCTTCTGAATTTTCAAATCTAGTGATAGAACATTAGGCTTATGGAAAGTGGGTTTGCTAATTGTAGCCTTAAATATAATTTTGAATTTCAATGTAATCCTTGGTGCTGGCGTTCCCAGTGCCAAGGAGTTTAAATGCTCCCTTCAAAGAGGTTGCCATGCCTACTGGCACTTTTACTGTCATATGGTTTTATAAGGAACACTGTCAAGGTGTGGAAAGCAATTCTGAACTTGCTATTAAAAGGAAACACTGGGGGCTGTAGACGAGGGGACATCCTCAGGTTTCTTAATGTTAAAATCTCCCCATTGCTGGAAAACTCAACAACGCTTGTGGGATCACAAGTGGTAGCGACAGTTCTTAGTTTGGAACTGTGCTGGGGGGGGGGGGGTAATATATTTATGGAATTGTAACTGTTGATGGAAATGAATAAAAACGTTGTTATTAAGGCACTATGTGTGTTGAAATTGAGGATGTTATCCTCAATTTCAGCTCTGATAAAAACATGGGGAACTATTGCGAAAACTGCAGAATTGACAGGAAAGTGTTTTCAGTCGAATGCAAGCAATGGTGAGCGAGCAAAATATCAAGATCTTGACAGTGTTCCCTCTAAGTATGAACTCAAGCCATTATAACTTTTAAAATTAAATATGATTTGCACTGTTCTGATATTGGTGCAGTTTTTTAGCAAAATATTAAGAAAACTAAATTGCATGTGGTGATTAATACGGTAAAAAATGATGTTGTTTTCCAATCTTAAAGTTCAGTTGTGTGAGGGGGGAAAAAAAAAAAGCACTTCATTATTAAGCATGGAGATATTGGCGAGAGTGGGCAAGTGCATATAGTAGCAACGCTGGATTAGTTGCACTGGGTGTTGGTAAACGTGAAGTGTTCACCAGTAAGTGCACATCTTTGGTGACGGTCAGCAGTGTAACGCACGGCTCATTTTGGTGCGTTCAAGGCAAGTGTTCACCTCATGTGATGCCTCAGATTATTCTGGTAGGAGGCTTTCTGTGCTGCAGCGCCTGTGAAGGTTTGAGCGTAAGCTAGAGTAGTTGCACACTGATTTGGAGTGCTTTCCGAAATTTGCAGCCTAGTTGAAGTTAGTTAGAAATTGGGAACTCCTGCTCGACACTTGTTGTTTATAAACAATACGCTTTTTAAATTCTACTTCTAACTTTTTTTTGTCACTTGAAGAAGTTTCATTTAGGACATGCAACTGCAGGGTTGTTTTTTGTTGTTGTTGTTTTTTGAAGAGGAAAATTCTTAGAATGCAAAACTTAGGTTTGTGCTGTTCAGAGGAAGGCTGTTATTGGAGATACATCTCTTATGTAAATACTGTCTTTAAAAGTTTAGGGAATATTAACTCTGTTGTTGGTAGGATTGTGGGGATATGACAGTCTGATAAAAGTTCAGCCTCCTCTGAAGATAAGCTTGCTCACTTAATGTTTCATTGCATAAATGCTGCATGTAGGTGCAACTTCCTTTTGTGCCTTTGATAATTCTGCAGAGGCATTTGCTCAGCCTGATAGTTTTGTTGGTGCTTTCCCACATCAGTGGGGAGAGACTTTACATCCACGCTGTCTTCATTTTCTACTAACATTTTCTGTAAATTTTGTGTTCAGACTGCTAACGTTCCACAAAATTCTGACCGTTTTGTTCTTTGCACTGGTGAAAGCTTAATAGAAAATGTTAATAGTTTAAAATGGAGGAGAAAGATTTGGAAGTAGGCTATCGGGCAATACTTGCTAGAGTCATAGAATCATTGAATGGCCTGGGTTGAAAAGGACCACAGATATCATCTAGTTTCAACCCCCCGCTTTGTGCAGGTCACCAACCACCGGACCAGGCTGCCCAGAGCCACATCCAGCCTTTTTAGAGTAGTGCTCAGAGAACTGAAATCCATAAAGCTGGAGGTTGAGTTTGTCTTCCTAGTACAAAGCTCATGAATCCCAATTTCCTACGATGGACTTGACGCTCAGTGTAGGCAGGATGTTGTGCTGAATTAACTACCAGCACTAGTGCATGACACCCCCAGCCTGGAAATAAGTATTTGTGCTGTTTGTGTAGAGGAAACACCAGATGTACGTTCTCACTTGTTCTGTCTGTCAGATTTAAAGAAACAAACAACCCAACATGTAAGGAAGGGATGTTTAGCTGAAGATACTTTGGCCCTTCGTATGGATGTTGAGGGAAGGAGGAGTAAATTGTTACTTTACAGAAGTATAGTGCAAACAAGTATAAAGCTTCCTAAAAATTGATGTTAAACTTTATGAGAAGCTGATTCTCATGCAGGAATCTGATCGGCCAGCGCTTTCAAGTGTTCAATTATATTATAAAGCACACAGGAGGAAAGTATGACTTTTTCGGTCCTGTGTTGCCTTGATTATTATGATTATTGATTATTATATATATATATATATATATATATATATAATATATAATATATATATTATATATATATATAATATATATATATAGATATATATATATTGATATTGTGATTATTGATTATTATGGGAGCACTGGGTTATATTTGTTATTTTGAAGTTATCTTCATGAAAGCTTGTTGAGCTTCCATGTACATAGATGGATCTTGAATCATCTGTGACAGTCAGAAACCACAGCCAGGTAGGGACGTAACTGGTTCTAAATTTTCAGTCTGACGGAGGAATTTAATTCCTCAAATGATATGTTCTGGTTCAGAGGGTTGTTTAGTTCCTGAATGTTCATTATACTGTCTGCTCCAAAGCCAACACTTATTTTCCTGACAGTCATTTAGGAAAAGGCAGCTGTGTCAGAAATCTGGATTCCTTCTACTCTGAGACTGATGCATGTGTCTGATGAATGGAGATAGTTTGCTATCTCTATTTGTGCAGTTAGCATGGCAAAGAACTTCGCTTGGTTTGGCCACTGATGTGGAAGAAAAGGCACAGAATCTTATTACTTGTGCTAAGGAAGCTACGAAGGGCATTCATGGTATTGCTACCTACCCAGTAGGATAGCGTAAGATGTTCAACTGCAGACGTGATAACGGTGAGTAAATGCAGACATTCCACTACTTAAATTAATTTCAGTACCTAAACTCCAACTTCTGTAGGAAGTTGACTCCTCATCTGCAGGGAGTGGGAAGGTTATATGGGTTTTGGTTTGGAAATTTTTGTGTTTATTACAGTGGTAATTCAATGTTGAGTGTAAGCTGATGTTAAATATTTTCAACTGAAAAATCACCAAAAATGCTTCTGGTATATCAAGTATGTGGGGTTGTTGTTGTTGTTGTTTTAAAAGCATAGCAATCTTAGCAGTTTGAAGGGATTTTTCCATGAACCCAACTATTAAAAGAGCCAGGAACTGAATGTGTCAAGTACTGAATTGCTGGCTCTATGTGTAGCATTTCCTGTTGTTCATTTTTTTTTTTTTCCCCAGTTTTCTCCAGAGAGATGAAGAAAGCACCTGTGACCAGCATTGGATATTTAAAACCTCTTTTACTCAGCGTAGCTAATTTGGAATAAGAAAGCTTCCCCTGAGTTCAGCAAAGGCAGCTTAACTTCATAGATTCCTCATTAGTAGTAGTTTCACCAGAAGCACATGCACGAAGTTGACTTCAGGACAGTTTCGCTAGACTAATTTCATTCACATTAACATATTTCTTTGAAAGTGTAGGTGGTTTACGCTTGCTTTTGAATTAAGATCTTTTCTGAAGAAAACCACAGCAAGGTACTTTTCCAAAAAGCTGTCAGAATCTGCAAGAAGTATGTTGCAGATTTCATGCTAACGTAAGACTTGAATGAATATAAAGGGAGAAAAAAACTGTCATAACTTGTCTCGCTGTGAGCTGTAGATGGATATAAGCCTTGACAGTGAGTACAATGGAAGCTGGTTTCAGAATCCTAGTAGAAATTTTCTGTGAGAACGATCCTTCAGTTAAAATCAGGAAGGGTCTGGAAGGTCATAAATCTATCAGATTTAAAGTATTCTGTTACGGAGTTGCAACTTGGTTTTGCTTATCGTTGTGATCTTACAATGGGAATGGTGTAAAAAATGATACTTAACAGTTTTTAGTGGTTTATTAATCTGATAAGTACCAAGTTAGGTTTATTGATGTTCTGAGCCATTGGGATTGTCATGTTTCTGTACTGACAAAAAATCTTAATACTTTGTGTGGTGTTAGCTGGTCAGTATGTCTCAGACTAAGTAGTTTCTGCTTTTTGAGGTACTTGGTCTTTTTTAAGGTTATGAGTAGGGATTTCTAATGGGAAGTACTGAGGCTTGTTTTTCTGTAATGCCAAGAGCTAAACTTTTACAGGTTATTACCCTCAGTATAACATTTTGAAGAGAATTGCTTTCAGTGGATAATAAAACGCGAGGAGTACACGGATGAATTGTGAAGAAGCATTGCTGATGTTCAGCATTTCAGAAGTGAAGCCTCCTGGTTTGTAAAGGCACTCTGAGGTTTGCTGGGGCGTACACGCCACTCAGGTACAAATTGCAGTGGAGTGAATCAGAGCGCTCACATCCCAGCAAGGTTGTGCAGAT